CTGTTTCTTCATTATTTATTTGCTCAATTAATAAATCAAATGGATTTGATAAAAATGGTTCAAATGGTAAATTATCATTATCATCAAGAATTTGAATTTGAATATATGTTGGAAGTGAATAAGATTTTAATATTGGATCATACATTAATATTGATAGACTATAATTTGATTGTAATTCACGATCAAGTATAACTAATGTACGTATAAAACCTTGAGAATCAATTGAAAATAAATTTGATAAAGATTCATTTCGATAAGAATCAACAAATAAAAAATCAACCATAGAATAATTTATAGTACTAAAAAAAGATTCAATTCAAATTTTCATTTAAATAATAATATCCGATAACAGGAAAATAATTTTTGTAAATTGATTTCCTACTTCCTTTCATTAAGAAAATGATGATATATATATATATATATAATTCAAGGTATTACATAATGATTTTTCGCTTGATTTTATTTATAACCTTTATAAACCGGTGAAAAAAAATTCAAAACATGAAATATAATCTATGAATGTTAGACACGTGTCAAAATTCAATGAATTTTAAATCTTTAAGGATTTCGGAAGTCGAATATAAATCGAAAAACAAATAATGATCAACAAAATAAAACAAACTCATAAGAATTATGTCAACTCAAAGACTTTGTGAGCAAGTTTGAGCGTATAAGAATGGGTGTGGCTGTATTTCGAGTGTGAATGCTAATTTAAGACTTCATTCACTCTCATTATTTTTCATATTCATATATTCAATCAACTTCTACATTCTATCTTAAACCACACCCACATCCTCATTCTCTAAGGTTGCTTAATATCATTGAGTACCTTTTGTTTTGTAGATAAGTAAAATTATCAAAATAATTCATAGCTTATTATTATTTTGCGGCACTTAACGAGATGAAATTAATGTTTGAAAAATCTTCAAGAATTTAAAGAAATCATGAAATTCGGTCATTCTTACTACTTCATATGAAAGTTATATTTGGAGAATTTAAAAACTTTTTTCTTTTTCATTTTTTTTATATTATTGTTTTTCACCTTGATGTTCTAATCGACGAATTTGAACTAAATAATTCAATATCAATATCTTCAATTGTTGATAAATTAATATATTTTTCAACTGGCTCTTGTTCATCTCTATCTCCAATTGTTAATCGTCCAATAATAGTTCCAATAGGTGAATTTTCTCGAATATCAAAATGATAAAGATCATGTATAAAATAAGGTACATGATCATTAAGATTATTTACTTGTACATCAACAATTGCCATTGATGAATATTTTCTATTTGGATAACCAAGATCATATGCACGTATACCAATACGATAAAATTCACATTGTTCACGATCAAGTATATGTTTTGTACGTAATACTCCTGAACGCACATCAATTAAAAATTCTTGACGTTCTTTAACAATAAGTTCATATCGAACGGTTCCATTTTTATCTTTATCAATATCATATGCATGCAAACGAGTAAGAAATGTATTTTTTGGTTGATTTTCATTAATTTTAATATGAAAATAAGTTTGATCAAACATTGGAGAATTATCATTAACATCAAGAAGTGTTAAATAAATAAATAATTCTGATTGAAGTGATATAAATGATGATTGAATTATATGTGAATTTATATCTAAACGACGTTTAAGAAAATCTTCTATATTTAATGATGAACTTTGACGTGCTGATAAACGTCTTTTTTCAGTTCGTATTGGACGATCACCATTATCATTTGCTATTAAATGTAATATATAATTTTCATATTCATCACGATCAAGCATTCGAATAGTAAATAGACCATAAACATTCGGACGAAATACAGATAAACGAAAAAAATCTGATGCACGACATAATGTTAAATTATCTTTAATAGAAAAAACAATGGGTTTTTTTAAAATTTTATTTTGAAATATTTTATTCTTATTTCTTTTTACCTATATGAACACCTTCTGGTGCACATCGAATATATGTTTGTAATTCAAGGGATAAAATACCATTTGATGTTTGATCATTATCACGTAAATGAAGTAAACCAAGTAATGTATCAGCTGATAATGGTTCTTCTTTTATTATATGAATTAATTGAGCATCATTTTCAAGAAGATTTATGTTTGAACGAAATGAATTTAAAAGACGATTTTGTTCTAAAATAAATTTAGAAAAAAACGAAATTCATTGATCTGCTATTTTAATACTTTTCAAAATTGAATAAATTCAAAAATTTCTTTCATTTAAATGCAAAGACTTAGAATAGTTTGGTTTAATACTGTTTAGATGAAAGATTATTTCCTTAGAACACCATTGGTGTAGCCAGTCATAGGCAATTGTCCACAGATTTCTTTTTGGAAATAAGGACATTTGCCCATAGCTACCCATTGATTAAAATAGTTCGGCTGATATATTACTCAATGCTCAAAAACTCCTAACAACACCACATACGTAAACTATGAAACTATATAAAATCAAATAAATTGATTATTCTCGTATGTTATTTAGAATATCATATGAATCTTGATACAAAAATGATTAATTTCCGATGAATTTGTTTAAAATTATTCATAAAGACAGAAGACAATCGAGAAATACAAAATGAATCAGTTGTATAAAACAGCAGATTTTTCGATTTTTGTATGAACATATCATAATATAGTACTGTTCAAAATTATAAGAATAAATTATCTAATTGAATCCTTCATTAAAAAGCTACAGATATCGCAAAAAGAAGTTTCTAGGCCGGTTTTTTAAATACGTTTAAGTATTTCTTCGTTTTTTTTTTGTGTGATGCCTATATCTTTTTATTAGAAGATCGTAGAAAACGCGTCAATCTCTTATTTTCTTCAGCACTTTACATTCTTTCGGGTGGAATTTTTATATGCAATGGATCTTATAGAGAACTTTATTGACTACTCAACTTACTATTTCAATTTGAGTTAGATGCTTAGAATTATTTTTAAAAAAAATTAAAAAAAACTTTATTCTCATAATCTTGGGCAGTACTGTACGTAATCAATTCGAAATCAAACCAATATTAGTGTAAAATTTGTAAGCAATAGAAACAATTGACTCTCTTCATCTCGATCAATTGAGAAAAAATATACAATGTCAACAGAATGATATTGTGCGATATATTCATAAGACTTGGATCAGTTG